TGTAGTCCTCTATCTTTCATTTTTTTACATTCGTTTATTTAGCTGATGGCTGCTAAAAGTAAACTCTGGCTAGAAATATGTAGCAAATATTTTCCTGTTATCTTTAAACTATATTTTCATAGGCATGGACAACATCTTGTATTGTTCCTTTGTGGCAGACGAAATATATGCAGAGTAAGTGAACCGTTTGAGTTATTTTTATCCCGAATATGTGATTCATTCTGAGAAGAGGGTAAATCTGTGTTTTTATTTTTTTACTTTAACACAGCAAGAGCTTCCTTTAACATTTGAAGTGTCAAAAACAAGTGTCAAATGGAGGGGCCAAGCTAACCTGCCTTGGAATTATTTTCCTCCCAACACTGACAGATTTAATGCATTTGCAATTCATGGATCAGGTGTGAACAGAACATATGAAGCTTTCTATCCTATTCCTCAAAATGAAGTTCACAAAAACCAGAAACCTGATTTGTAAGTATATCTGTGGTGCCATTTTTCTGTTATGGTTATTGAAAGGCCGGTATAGAGAAGAGAATATTTTATGGTCCTTTACCCTAAGAGTAAAGTTTTATACATTTATCTGTTAGATTTATATTCCACTTTTCATACAGAATCTCAAGGTGGCATACCTAGTACTCCCTTCTTCTATTTTCTCCACAACAACACCCCTAGGAGGTAGGTTGGGTTGAGAGAGCAGTGACTTCTGCGAGGATGAGTTTGAATCTCAATCTCTCTCTGTCCAAGTCTAACCACTGCAGGTTTGAGGACAAAGGTGCCAAGAGAATCTAGAGTTACTTTGGAATTGTTTCCATTGTTTGGAATCTGCCAGTAGTGCATTTATTATTGAACATAATAATAAACATCAGTTCATTAAACCACTGTAAGCAGAATCATATTTAAAGTTGATTCTTCTGTTTCATATAATTTACAATATCAATATTGTCCAGCATATTTCAAATATATTTCAAAAATATTTTTGAAGCTTAATTTAGTGCAACAAAAATGTTCACACATTTATTGAATTAATTTCAAAAAATTAAGCTTGTTAGAAAAATGCAAAAAATGTAAAACTTTCTGGGGCCTGAAATAATTTGCTGTATTCCATGCACGCTAGTATCATTTCAATACCTGTTGGTGATAGTGCCTTCGCGATTTATATTTTTTATCCCATCTCCAAATCTTTCTGCACAACCCCTAATTTGCAACATATGGACAGCTTTAGTTTTGCATGCAAATTAATTAATGTGTAGGTTTAGAAAACAATAGGCTAGTAGTTTTTTGACAGCTTGGAAACTTCTAGGGCTTGATTTGACAGATTAAGCCTTCAGGTATGTGCTGAATGGGACATTATTTTGCATAGAGACAATCTTAAGAATGAACTGCTGAAGCTGCTTGCTTATCCCATTCTGTGCACATGTATTTAACTGATTGGTTAGTCTCAATTTGATATAGTGGTTTAACAATATCATCTGAAAGTCTTATGTATTTCCAGGAAAAACTGTACTTTTCCTAGTAAAAGTCAAATGATATAAAATATAATCATCTCTAAAACATAGTTCAATAATATGCATATAGAAATAGCTGACAAAGATTTGAACTTTGTTCCTTGAATGAATGAACTATCCTAGCTTTCTAATACAGTACAGAATTTTAATTATTGTTATCATTCTTTGTGCCAATTCAGTAGGAGTGAGAAAGAGTGAATATAAATGTTTCAAAGTTATCAACCCTTTGCTTGCTTTCTATTTCAGCCATCGTCTAGAATATTTTAAAAAATTCAACTTGAAACAATTAATGGGAGAAGATTGGAAACCGATGGATTCAGACTTGTGGGCATCATGTACTAGATGAAACATTTTGGGGAAATTAATATCATAACTGTGGCAAGATTATTGTATACCAAAAGTTGGAAAAGCAGTGAAATACCTTTAGTGGAAGATTGGATTATAAAATTAACTGAATTTGCAGAAATGGCAAAGCTGACCAATTTCGTCAGAGAAAAGAACCTCCTTCCTTCCTTCCTTCCTTCCTTCCTTCCTTCCTTCCTTCCTTCCTTCCTTC